TATTCCAATGCTTAGTGGTTCTGCTTAGTTCATCTGGAAACATCTTTCAAGTTTTCTGTCTTCTGATGCTGCAGCCAACTTGGTAATCAAGAACGCGGACTATGACTTCATATTTGTGTTTCTTCCTTCCTCACTTCACTTTCTTTTCCTGTCAGACTTTGTGTCCTGGGATTGTTCTCCCAATGTGGAATTAGCACTTAGCATTTGCCTTGGGCATGTTTTTATGGAACCTTTGCCAGCCAAGACAAGCAGCTAATGTGAACCACACACCATGCTAGGGGTCGTCCAACAACTGGTGAACAAGACACATGTGTTCCCCACCCTTATGTGGTTTTTAGCATAGTGGGAGAGACAAGCGGTGCCCCATTAAACAATGGTAAAGAGTCGCAAAGCACAAAGTGGGATCCACCCTGTAAAGGAAAGAAATTCACTTCTAAGATAAAAGAGTGGTTGAGTGGCAGGGACGAAAGATGATATCAGTTTATGGATGATTCAGAAAGTCTCTCTGAGGAGGTTGTACTTATTTAAGATTTCTTTTAATTTGAAAGACAGAATGGCAGAGAGTAACAGGAAAAGAGGTAGAGACAGAGAGAATGATCTTCTATCTGCTGGAATCTTCCATTCTACCTGAATGGCTGCAACAGCCAAGGCCAGGCTAGGCCAAGCTAGGAATGAAGAGCTACATCTAGGTGTCCCATGTGAGTGGGAGGAACCTAAGTACTTGGGTAATCATTTGCTGTATCCCTTGTGCATTAGCAGGAAGCTGGATGAGGAGTGGAGGTGGGACTCAATCCCAGACACTCTGACGTGGGACATGGGAGTCCTAAGCAGTGGCTGAGTCTATTATGCTGCACTGCTCACCCCAAGGGTTGTATATAAAGAGTAGTGACTCCATGTTAGGATCCAGTCATGATAAAAACAGAGGGATGAAGATTCTTATCTGCCAGAGGTAGGCAGGGCCCAAAAGCAAAAATTAGTTTTTGAGGCACTCAGGAAAGATCCAGATGATCAGAGGATCATGATCAAGCCATGGCTGGCTTGAGGCTGGGGGGGGGGGGTCAACCTGCAGACTGTTGATAAAGTTGGTTTTTACTCTAAATGCTATTGGAAACTGCTAAATTATTTTAAGTATAGATGTTATGATAGGATGCTTGAGAATTCTGAATTGGAATTAAGATTCTACTTATTTTATTTGAATAATACTTTCTACTTACAGCTTTTAATGAGAAGAAGATTATCAAAAGTAAATATCTGGAAGTAAATTATATAATTTGTGAGTTACCCCAGCATAGATATAATACACACACATATACACACACACACAGATGTACTTATAATCACCACTCTCCCCTCTCTAAGAGATTATAATCTGTTATAATACACATTTTCTTTTTGTCAACTGTTCCAGCAGTGTTTTCTGCTTCAATTTTTTTACTTTGCTCCCTGTTCATTCATGTTGGGTTTGATTATTTCCTTATATTAATTTCAGAAGGCTCACAGCATTTGAAGATGTGATTTCTTAAATTACAGAGCTTCTTCTGCCTCAATTAAAATTTCTTCAGTAAGTGTAGTTCTGCTATGCCTGTCATTAGTGCAGTCTACTAGTTCACAAATTCATGGAAGTACAAAAATACATTTTACTAATGTGCACTGCACGATGCTCCCTGTAAAATGCCTCCTATATAATGTCATTTGCAAAATGCCTGTTTCAGCTGGTCGGGGAGGATTTTATAGACAAGCCTGGATTAGAGTAAGAGCAATATGTCTTCTAGGCAGAATAAAGCCATCCTCTATAACGCTACAAAGGCTTTCTTGATGGTTGCTATCTCTCTTTGAATGTCAGGTGTTCCCAAATTGCCTCTCTGGACTTAACTTTTCAGCCAACTCATTCCTATTTAAGTTTGTTATATTAACACAAAGTTAACAGGATTTTTTTAGGATAGTTTCATAAAGTAGTAACTCTTGTGGAAATTTAAACCAAATATTGATGTCACCCTAGCTTAAGTCATACCCAGGCAAGATTGGCTCTCACCACATGTTTTGGGGGATAACAGAATTATGGATTTACCAAATGCATTCTATTCTGACCAGGAATTACCCCATGGGAAACTCATGCTTTTTCTTTTGTTGGAAAGCCTTGTCAGTGCAGGGCATAAATTAGCAGCATTTCAGCATGGATTGATTCTCAGTGTTGATTTTTAGAAGACAACTGCCTTCTAAATGGAATGGACAGAGGGGCATAGCCATTGTCTGGAAAGGCGGTATGCTACCAGGGAGGTCTATAAACAGAGAACCCAGGAGAATACTAGGTGCCCAGGGGAAGTGCTTGCATCCACGATGAAAGCAAATATGGTTGTTGGCCAAATTCTAACTTCAGACTTTTGCCTCGGGCAGCACTGTTAGCACTTCAAGTCCCATTAAAGGACCCTTGCTTTCAAGCAGATGGTGGCTTTCTTGATAACAAAGAAAACAACAGTGGTGGGAAAAAATTGGCCAGACCAGGCTTCAAAGAAGCAAAACACCCAAGGGAAAAGTTATTCATGTTTCTTGGGGAATGAATCACAGAAAAAAAATCTTTAAATGGAAATGATACAATAGAAATAATTTATTTAAGAGAGGTAGTAATATCAAGTTCATGATCACTCTGGCTCTTTCCAGACTTTCTGCCTCTGTGCAGAATAATGAGCAAATAGAGGTAAAATGTAGCTAATGTGAAATAAAAAATGTATTACAGACTAGAAAGTATTTTTATACTTGTTGTCTTCTGAGTCCAGATGGGGCAATTTAAGGCGAAGTCTGAAAAGGCCTTTATGAAGAGAAGACATTTAAGTCAGCAATAAAACTTTGCATAATCAAAATAGTCTCCCTATTAACCTCATTAGAAAAAAATACAATATCTTTGGCTTAGCTAATTTCTAGAAATAAGAAAAATTTATCTTGCACATTAAGACAACCTAAAGTATTAGAAACAAAATCAGTGGATATGATAAAAATGATTTATTGATTGTATTTAGCACGTGACTTGAAACACAGATATGTATAAACTAAAATTTTCACACGTCTTGTGTCCATATCAATAGATCTTATTAAAGTATGAACATTATGTATATATACAACCATGTACATATAACCAATTGGTGCCAACTAAATATACTTACTGCTAGCATTCTCTTGTCACTGACTGTAAAACTCAAGTTGTACTCACAGACCTAGCCACTGTTAAATCATTCCAAGTTTTAGAATTTCTTGTCATTTGTGTTATATGTTGGCTGCTTGGACTCTCTTCTTCTGATTTTTAACCCTTTTATTTGCCTTAACTTTGTTTTCATGGAGGGAACTCCTCAATTCTTATTTCATCTGCATCTGGCTTCTATTTAATCTGTGGTTTCTGGACACTACCAACCCTTATGCTGTTTGTCAAACATGTCTACAGCTTCCTGATCCTGGCTGCTCACACTCTCTCCAAAATCTGGTTCTAAGTATTATCCTGAGGATAGTGCATGGAACTTTGTACCTTTGGACTGGCTTAACATGGATCTAAAATTTAGTAAAATATATGGCTTTGGCAGATCAGCTTTGCTCCTTGGTTCCTTTCTTTGTACAATCCAATTATAGAGTTTCTATCCCATGACATATATTGATGACCTCATCAGATTTGCTGTGGTAGCTGTCATGTATGCAAAGACAATAAAGCATATTACCTAATCCCAAAGGGTCTAGTTCCAAATATAGTATGTGAAAGGGACATGCTTGTAGATAATACTGGTGCAATACAAGGCGTACTGGTATAGTAGTTGATGCAAGGTAAGAGCAGAAGCTTAGAGGAAAGGAAATAACTAGCTTGACTTATAGGTAAGGGATGTGCATTTTAGTTTGCCCAGGAAAGTTCTACTTTATGACCTTGCTCTAGCATTCTTTGGAGCTTAGCACTAATCTTATCCTCTTTCACTTTTCAAAGTGTACCAGTTTAGACAAAAAAAAAAAAATTACATGGTGACCCTATTTGTATTAAGGTGAGGTGAGGGAGGGTGGTGGGGAAAGAAAGAGAAAGAGAGTATTAGGATAGATATATAGACATATGAGGGGGAATTTTTTAGAATTGGTTCATGCACATATGAAGGTTGCAAAATTTCACAATATGCTCTCTGCAAGCTGCAGAGCCAGGGAAGCCAGTAGCATGACTACACCTGAAGACTTGAGAGCCAAAGGAGCTGATGCTGTAACTTATGGTCGAAGGAGAAAGACATGAGAAACTAGGGGGACTGGTGTGAGTCCTGGTGTTCAGAGGCCAGAGAATCTTGAGCTCTTACATCCAAGCACAGGAAAAGTTGGGTGTTCCAGCCCCAGAAGTGAAGAAGAGACAGAATTCACCATGCTGCTTCCTTTTTGTTCACCTGCAGCCAATTGCATGGTGCCTGCCAATACTGAGTGAAGGCAGATCTTCCTTAGTCCACTGATCAAACACTGATCTCTTCCAAAAATACTTTGAAATAATGCTCTAACAGCCATCTGGGTATTCCTTAATGCAATCAAGTTGTCATCTGAAGTGATCACAATAGTTGTAGTGGGAAGGTGAAACAATCTTTGGAAGAACTTTTATAAGAAAATGTAAGAAATAAGATACAAATTGTGAGAAGAACTTTCCCAATCAAATGAAGCAGAAATGGAAATCACTGACAAAGGCAATAGCCCCCAGGGCCTGTTTAATGTGTGAATCAGGAGAATGCTATGCAGTCCACATGGCAGTGTTTCTTGGGCAATGTCTTAGATCCTGTGCGTTAGGGAAGAAACCAGGGGCCGGCATTGGGGATTCTTCTCTGTCACATCAAGGACCTTAACAATTTTTGTAGAAAATGGGGTCTCTTTAAAGTTTGTAACCAAAAGAATGACCTGATTACACTTGCCTTTTAGTATTTCTAAGTAATGCATACAAATGATGTGCAGAATTGATGAGCAGGGAATAGAACACTAAGCAGGCAGAATAATCGGGAAGCCTTCACAGTAATCCAAACCAAAGTTGAGAAGCAAGTGGTGAGGATGTAGAATAGGGAATGGGTTATAAAGATATGTCTGAGGGAATTAAGAGGTACTGGAAATTTGCCTGATTCAGAGGATAAGTAGAAAGGAGTCAAGATCATCCTCAGTGGGCAATCAGACTTGTATTGGTTAGAGTTTAGAAAAGAAGGATGGGTTGGAATTATAGATATGGGAATGTGAATAAAACAGAAAGTTTTAAAATGCAAAGAGAAAAAGACCAAAGCCAGACTATGTCTTAACTTTATTAGAATAGTGTGAGAAAATGGGGTAATGAGTGGAGAAAGCTTTGGGAAAAATGTCTACGAGACTCCTAGTACAAATTGGTTTTGGTTAAATAATTATGACAAATGTTGGTGCCAGAGCTTTAATTGCTCTAATTCTTGGTATTTATTGTATGTTTTATTCTTTTTGAAAGTTACATCACTGAATTACATTATGTAATAGGGATTTCTTATAGAGTAAAAATATTCTCTCCCAAAGATCCATTTTGAAATGTTTAATACATACAGTTAAAGCTGTTGGTAAAGGGCCCAGTCATACTCTATTAGTCAACAGTAATATATAATTATGATAGAGTACATCATTCTCACACTTCTTGTGTTTGGGCAAAAGAGAAGTATCTAACCCACTTACAGAGAGTGCCATATCATTTCTGCAATCAGTAAAAGTTAAGAGAATACTTGAAATCCCTCTCAAGTGATGAGTGCTCACTTCTAAAAATAAAGTTTAAGTCATATTAAAACTTTTGAGAACATCAGGTGAAACTTTTCATGTAGAGTTTTTAAATTTGGACCATTATCAACTTGAAAACATTCAGAAAAAGATATTTATTATATTAATTTTCTGTGTTCTAAGTATACTTTTCTGTCTCTTTAAGCTATAAGTAAACTTAAATCAATTTATTTAATGATTTAATTTATTTTATTTATGATAAGCATTCACATTATTTATTTATTTATTTATTTGAGAGGTAGAGTTATAGACAATGAGAGGGAGAGACAGAGAGACAGATCTTCCATCTGCTTGTTCACTCCCCAAATGGCTGCAATGGCTGGAGCTATGCCAATCTGATACCAGGAGCCAGGTGCCTCCTCCTGGTTTCCCATGCGGGTTCAGGGCCCAAGCACTTGGGCCATCGTCTACTTATTTCCCAGTCCATAGCAGAGAGCTGGATCGGAAGAGGAGCATCCAGGACTGGAACTGGTGCCCATATGAGATGCCGATGCCACAGGCGGAGGATTAACCTACTGGGCCATGGTGCAGGCCCCTATAACATTTCTACCTAAGTCTTAGGTTAATCCAAACATGTTTGCTTCCATTATAGTACTTTCAAGTAATCAAGCACAAATACAGGACATTTTTAAAAAATGTATTATTTATTTTCATCTACTAAAAGGCAGAGAGGAGGGAGAGGGAGAAAAGGAGAGAGGGAGAGAGGGAGAACTTTTATTTGCTTGCTCACTCTCCAAGTGCCTGCAACATTCAGAGCAGGTCCAGGGCAGGGACAAGACAAAGTCAAGGACCAAGAACTCAATCTTGTCCCCTCTGTGTGTGTCAGGGTCCCAAGCATTTGAGCCATCATCTGACGCATTCTCAGGCACATTAGCAGGGAGCTGGATTGGAAGTGAAGTAGCTGGGACTTGAACTGGCATGCTGAAATGTGATGCCAGCATTGCTAGTGGTGACTCAACCCCTTATGCCATAATGCGTCTCTCCAGGCGGAATATTTTATAGCTTCTAAGAATAACTTCTGAAGTTTTATTTGAAGATCAATTTATTTTTCAAGTTATCGAAGCAGAATTCTCTTCCATGTCGATAATTTATATCTTAGTGAAGTTTCTTCTTTGGAACATGCAAATTAAGAATATGTATTAATTCAGACAACATTTAAAAATAAATTAATAAATAATAAATGAAACAAATCCATTTGATTTACTTTTTAATTTTCAAGATTGCTTTCACTAAGAAGATAGAATTGGGTTAAGAGCAGTAAAATTAATAATTTTTTTAATCAAAGGATTAAATAATAACCAAATGCTCCAAATGCTTTCAGCTTCTGTTCTTATAAATTAATTTTAAGAAAATCTCTATTTATCATGCTACAGAAAATTAATGTGGTTTATAATATTTAAATGTTTTATATTTATTTAGTGAAATCCATTTATAACTGTCATATAAATATACTGAGCAAAAATATTTGCAAAAAGCAGCAAAAAGCTCAGTTATTTAGTTAAGCAAAACAAATCCCCTCCTTCCTACTCTATTTTTCATGATTCATTAACTCTTCAAATACCATATAATATTTGACCTATGGCTTTGTTTGCCCTAGGTGGATACTACTCTATGACCCCCACATTCCCCCTAGAACTAATGTACTCATTACTGTAGCTTCTGAAAATGATGGATGCTGAAACTGATCCCCAAGTCCTTTGTTGGAAATTGTCTTTTGCTGAGTAAACCTGCCTCACTCAAAGTTAACCTATTCTCAGGAAGCAGCCTACATGTCATGGAGTGATAAAAAACTCAGTTCCCTTGCCTTCATTTGAGATATTTCTGAATGACTATCCCATTGTCAAAGCTCTCTATGAACAACAGGAGTCACTGTGCACTTACTCCCCATGTAGGATCTCTGTCCTTAATATGTTGTACAATGTGAATTAATGCTATAACTAGTACTCTAACAGTATTTTACACTTTATGTTCTGTGTGGGTGCTAACTGTTGAAATCTTTACTTAATATATACTAAATTGATCTTCTGTATATAAAGATAATTGAAAATGAATCTTGATGTGAATGGAGCAGGAGATGGGAGCAGGAGATGGGGGGGTTGCGGGTGGGAGGAAAGTTATGGCGGGGGGGAAGCCACTGTAATCCAAAAGCTGTACTTTGGAAATTTATATATATTAAACAAAAGTTAAAAGAAGCTCTCTGTGAGATCAACTGATGGTTCTGTTGAAATGATGTCAGGCCCTGTCCTGCTTTCTTTGCCATTCCACAGGTGTTGTTTTCAGGAGTGTGACCCTGTAAACCACCTGCATGAAATCTCAGCATCTCAGTCTTTTCCTAAGTAAATTAAAAGTTGGTGCCAGTAATGGCTCAAGGAAGCAGGTCATAAAATGGACTTTTGGAACAGGATCCCATCATTGATGGTAGGTGAATGACATTTACTGAAGTGTGGCTTCTTCCCACAAAATTCATCTATTGAAGCTTTAATTAAGGTTGAATGAGGTCAAACATTTAGGGTCCTAATCTTCTGAGATTAGTAGTCTTACATTAAAAGGGAGTGTTCTTGTTCTCTCTCACAAATATAAATAAATAAATTATTAATATAATTAATAATGAATAAATGTGAGAATACAGAGAGAAGATGACTGGGCAAGCCAGGATTAGTGCAACCACGCTGGCACTCTGATCTCAGAATTCTAGCCTCCAACATTATAAAAAAATAAAATTCTGTTGTTTAAGGCACCCAGTCTATGGCATGTGGTTATGGCAGCTCAAAAAGAATGCAATAGTGGTATAATCTTTAAAGTCTTTCCTGATGATAAATTCAAATAGGATTCTGATGAAAGAGAATACACTTTATAGTGCCTGCAACATTCAGAGCAGGGCCAGAGCAGGGTGAATAATGTTAGGAAATTAGTAACAGTAAGGACACCAATCAGATAGCTTTTTATTAGGGCCATTGATGCATTAAACAAAACATTACAATTTAAAGGTAATTAATTCTCAATTTAAGGTAAAGTAAGAAAATTGAGGCCCCTTTTACAGCCTATAAAGAGGCATACATACAGCTAGAAGCACAAAACACTGAGGACCATGCATGATGTTTTATTAAAAGGAAAAGACAGATCTGGATAAGGTTGCATTTTCAACCCAAGTAATTCTGCTACTGCAAGGTCATGGCCCTAGTTAGCAGAGTGGAATCCTGAGACTACAGAGGGGAATCTGGGTCAGTGAGCTGAAAAATCTGGAATCCCTAGATTATCCTGAACCTTTTGCAATGTGACCCATTCTTCCCTGTAATAATGGTCTTTCTCTCCCTGTTGGAAGATGAGACATAAGTCTTAGTATTTGCAAGCTAATGTGTACTTCTCTTGGGATCTAGATAACAATAATTACTTTTATAATACAACATTACCCAGCTCCCAGCCCCTAAAATGCAATCCTGATGGAAGAAAGAGATCATATCATAAAATAAATGCAAGACCCAATCTATCTGTGATCTTTATGGTGCTGGGAAAAAGGAGCAGGGACTTAAAGCTGGACAATAGAGTTTATCAATATGAAAGTAATAGTTTCTAAAATCCAAGCAATGATCCTGCTGTAGGTTTAAAAAACACAAAGACCCACACTGCCTGAATCCAAGATACCAGAACTGAGAGATAGCAGAGGAAGGGGTCCAGAGGATGGCAAATATAGACATGCTACAAACATTTCATCTGACTCCATTCCATGAGAAGGCCCTGGCTGGAAACTATTTACCAAAAAATAAGGAATGCCCATGTCATTGGCAGCTCTGAGATTAGGACTGACCACAGGAGATGCTGCTACAAAACTGGCCTCTCCTATAACAGTACATGTGGTAAAATCCCTGACTGACGGAAGCCAAGTGGTGTGCACAATAAGTGTAGTAGAAGCAATCACATGGTCAGTGTGACTGTGCAGGATGCATGAACTACATAAATAGTGCAGATGTTTAATAGAACATAGGGGAAATACAGATGGACAGCCACCAAAGATATTGCTCTGTGTGGTCAACATATTAGAAGTTGTGGAAAAACATCCAATAGACAATCATCAAGCCTTACCAAATTTTCTGTTGATTTAGTGTTCAGTCTCACAATCCACATAATGGAAAAGAGTCCAAGTCTCCAGGAAGGACGTTCGTAACAAGTATATAGGGATTATCAACTTTATCCTCAAGGAGACTCAATTGAATTCTTTGGTAGCCACGAATTTGGGAAAAGGGAACATCCAGACATTTCAAATGCTGTGCACACAAGGTCTAAGTTGACATTGGTACCTGGGGACAGTGCCATCTTGACTGTCCTGTGAGAACAAACATTTGGTAGCAAAGTTAAAAATAAATGTAGTCCTGACCAAGGTTTGACTCTCAATAACCCACTAGAAACTACCACTAGGTAACCACACAATAATCATTTTCTTGGACTCCAAATGTATAATTGGAATGAACACTCTTGATGATTGGAGGATTCTCCACATTGATTTCTTGACTTGAGGGACCCCAAGAAGGGCAATGTGGAAGCTTTTGAAAATTCCCCTTTACACCAACTGATATAGGGAATAAAAAATAAGATTGCACCCTGGCAAAGTGACAGAGCTTAGTGCTACCCTTTGGGGTCTACAGTATGCAAAATGGTGTTCCACATCATTTTACTATTTAATTTATCAGTCTTGCCACTACAAATTTCAGGTGTATCCAGGAGAATGAGAATAGACTACTAAACACTCAACCAAGTAGTAGCTTCAATTGTGGTTGCTTTGTCAGCTATGGTGTCTTCACAAGCTTGTAAGAACATAGCCTTAGGAACACACTGGTCAGCCAGTGAGCTGGATAATGCATTCATTTTTTAACTATATTGGGAAGGAAAATTAGAAGTAATTTACCTTCACATATAAGAGACAAGAGTATGTATTTGTAGTCTTGCCTCACAACTGTGTTAACTCTCCCACTTTCTTTCATGACACATTCCTAAGTGGTATGTGTGATCTGGACATTCTGTGGAACATTGCTATAGCCTGCTCTATCAGAGACATAACATTGATCAAACCAGAGGAACAAGAAACTGCAGGCATGCTAGATATTTTGGTAAGCCACCTAAATTCTAACAGGAGAAAACTCTATGAAGATTTTGGAGACACATCATCAGGTTTTAGACATCAGTGAGGTATGGAAGGGCTCACTTCTTAACTAAAGGGAAAATTATTGCCTCTTGGACCTCTCACCCGAGAATTCCTGGGAATTTATGAAGCGATGTATTCTTTTATTTCACACTGGAAAAACTAGTCCAACCCATTAATCAAATGGTAAAGAAAGCAGCCAGCTGTGTGTGCGACATCTCAGCAGAGTTCTTTAACAGGTCTAGGCTGCAATGCAAATGGTCCTCCTGCTTGGACCACAAGACCTGACAGACACTATGGTATTATACAGAGTATATGGTATTATAACAGAGATAATGATGGTAGAAAATTATGCTACACAAAGTTTTGGCAAGCCATAATTAGAGAAACATAGTATAGATCCATATATTCCAGAGCAAAGCTATACCATTTTCACCAGAAAATCATGTAATAGCTCCTAACATACTACTGCTATGGTAGCATAATGATCAGAACTTCCAAACATAATTTGGGTTCTGCCAGATGTACCAAGTCATAAGATGTATAATATGTAATACATCTGAGGATGGGTCTGATTCACCAGATAGATCAGTGCTTACAGAATTGATGATGAATAGAGTAGCTATGATGGTGGGGAATGAGGCTACATATGATTCAAACTATAGGCTTGCACTTATGAAAGCTGACTTAGGAACTGCTGCTGATTAGCCAACCTACAAATGATGGAAACCAAGAGTGAGCCCCTATGTGGCAACAGCCCTGAGGAGATCAACCAACCACTGCATAAGCTGATTAACACAGACTCTTTCTATCTTAGAAGGAATAATAACTTATCTTTTTTTCTGGAATCAATATATTCTGAGTATGGATATGGTTTTCTTGCTCTCTGGTCCTCATTTGAGACTGTTATCCAAGGACCTTTGATTCACCAACACAAATTCATACACAATATCACATTAGACCAAGAGATCTTTTCAGTACAGAAGGGGTCACTGTGAATGTATGGCTGTGAATCCACACATTTTAACATTTACCTTACTTCCCAGAAGCTGCTGGCCTGACATACCAGAGGAATGGCATTTTAAAAGAGTAGCTGAGGTTCCAACTTAGAGAAGATGCAACAAGGAGGGGACGCCATCCCCCAGGAGTGGTACCTAAATCAGTGGCCATTGCATGGTATTATGTTTCCAGCAGGTAAAATACCTGGATCAAAAAGAAAAGTGATACTAGGGTCAGCCCTAATTATTCTTCTAGATCTATTTGGATAATTTATGATTTCTCTATCTACAACTCTGACTTTGAAGATCTAGAGCTCTTAAACCTAAGATAGGGAATGTTACCATCAGAGGAAACAACAAAAATATTCAACTTTGAGTTATTACTGCTGCTTGATTCCTTTGAGCTTCTCAGGTGCAAGCTGTCCCCTAAATATGTGTACTAAAGTGAGGTAGCTCTCTTTGGTCAGGGGAAATGAAGGAGGAGGAACTCAGTTATGAATGAGCTTTTAGCAATCATCGTGCCCAACATCCGAAGAAATTTAAAGAGAGGATTGGGTAACAACCACAGCCTCAATTATAACCCATCCTTGCACCTTGTGGGTGGTTATAACCTCAATGGAAATGTCACCCAAACTGGGGAAGATTCCCTCAGGATAATGGTTGGTTTATTTTCCTTAGGAAGGTGACAGGAAATTGATGAGACAAACTAGACTTCCAATCACTGCAGCTCGTTCTGGGGCTGCAAGTGGTGGTCATCGTTTCATCCTCCTGCTGCTACCACACTACCTCTCAGCTTCTCTTCTGCCTTATCTCCTTCTAAGAGCAAGGTGAGTGTGCACACCAGGTTCTATCACAGAGCCTCCTTCCAGGGATATTGCTCCTTGACATCTTGGTTTCCCTCTATGAATTAAGAGCATCAATCTTCTCAGAGTGTTCTTCCTGTGTAAATGTCTCTGCTCCAAATTTCCCCTTTAACAATGACACCCAACATATTGGATAGGAGGCACATTCTACTGGACTATGACCTCATCTTAATTTAACTAATTACATTTGGAATGATCCTGTTGCCAAAATAAGATCACATTCATAAATGCTGGCTGTTAGGACTTCCACATATGAATTCTGTAGGGATCCGATTCAACACAGTGCTGAACTTTGAGGGGAGTGGTTTATTAACTTAGGTGTCAGAAAATACAAGCTGTAGAAACAATAAGCTTGGGATTTTTAAAAATTAGAAACTTAGATCATGATCCTCAAGAAAAAACAACTTTCCACCCACTTGCTCTAAGGGGATTTCCCCCAGCGGCTGCACTTCAGATGAGCCGGAGAATCTATCTGTGCCTCGACGTGTACTTTTCTTTTGCTCCCACTGAAAACATTATGGTACCAAAATGAAGAAAAAGAATAAAGTACTCTCTCCGTGTGAGTCCATAACAACTGGCTAAGTTAATCTTCTGAAGGGAAAGAATTCAATCTAGCAATTGGAATTATGGGCTCAAGTTCTGGAAGATGAAAACCCTCGTCGTCATCCTCTTTGGTTCATTGACTCTGAAAGACCCACATGCCATGTCACATTGCCAAATCGAACATCTGCATTTCAGTTGGTGCGTGCCCTTGGTGTTGGCATTGGCCCTATGACCACAGTGCTTTCTATCACAGCTATTTTAGTGGCTTGGCTCTTTTTTACTCCCTCAGGCCTTACGGTGGAGCAAGAGGACACACACAGTAGAAGCTAAGAGAGCCATTCTAATGAACGGCATATTACAGCTTTCTGAGTATGACTTGCATTGTTTCATAGCAAAGCTGCTTATGTTGCTGTAACTGAAGGATCAAGTTAAATAAAGCATAAAAACAATGTGGAGACTTTTCTTTCAAGAAATCATCACAAAAGTGCTCTGTCCCAACCAAGGCTCCCTTTTGCTTGCGTTCTTAAAAGAAATATATAATACCAAGACTTTGTATGGATATGGAGTATGTCCTGTGTAGCAGGGCTGTAGAACCATAGTGGGTTAGTGACTTAGGGGGTCAGGAAGTTGTCTCATGCCCTTTCTTGTGCTGTTCATAGGATAGATACCCGGGCACAGACCCCTAACAATAAAACCCAGGTCAGTGCTTCCAGTTGTGCGCTCCCCTCGGGCAGCCATCCCATTAAACACGGGATCCAGGAACTTTGTGGAACTCTGCCACAAATGCAAAAACCATATTTCAGTCCCAAAGTGTCAGAGTGAAGGGGGGGAACAAACCAAACACTAAAGCAAATAAAAACATCTTTTAAAATGTCGCCTGCTTGCTGCCAAATGTGGGCTCAGAGGGAGTGCCACCAGGAGCAAATTCCACATGGCGAGGCCTTCCGTGGAGAAGCCTGGCTGGCAGGCCAAGAGGAGTCAGTAATTAACACTGCCAAAGACTCCCGAGGCCCCATTTCAGCAGCTTGGGTTGGAAGCCCTTGCCCACTGCAGTCACCCTTAAATGGCACAGCTCGCGTGTGGAGTCCATCTGCAGTTGGCTCACGTGTGGCCTCCAAGTCTTTCCTATAAAGTGGAATAAAATCCACAGGGTTTCTCTTGGGGGCTTTAACCCTGTGGGAATTAGAACCCAGAGTATCTGATTTTTAAATAATGAATTAAATGAGGAATTCTGAGAATGCTGAGTAACCAGTTCCTAGAAATTATAGCATTGAGACAATTGTATTACAAGCTCAGAGTTTGAGAGCCATGCTTGGTTACCTCAGGCCTGGGCAGACAGAATTGGCAATTGTGGGCTGGAAAGAGCATTGTAGAAACATTGGAAAGGATGGGTGAAGTTACCAGCTATTAAGTAGACTCTAAAACAGGGTATGGTAAGGAAGAATGACGGTCATCTCTTGAGAAGAGAAAATTAGTGAGTAGGCAGCTGTGCTGTAATGGAAGAAACATAAACTGGGTGTGAGTTTGTGGGTTCAATTTCCAAGACTGCCATTATCTAGTGCTATGGCATTGGGTAAAATATTTAATTTTTATACATTCATATATTTATATACATATATATGTAAATGAGGATTATGACATCTCAGACAAAATGATTTATTCTAAATATATATAGAGAGACAACTATCCAGAAAATAGACTTCAAATGAATGGATATTTTTCCCCTAGGTGCCTATATTCATTTGTTGATCTCCTACTAAATATCTAACAAATTTTGCTCATATTGAGTGCCTCCTATCAGCAGGAAAGTCTTGACATATGACAAGTAAGGGTGCTGTTCTGTTGGATCTTATGTTCTGGATAGTGAAGCAAAACAATGAAGGAATATGTAAATAAATGAAGTGTTTTCAGGTTGTGGTGAGACCTAGGATCAACAGTAAAAGGGATGGTAAGATGGGGAACTGAAATGTTGCTATAGATGGAATTGTTCCAGAATGTTTAAATACCTTTACCTATTTAATTTTACTAGTTCCATTGCTGTGGTAGGTACCACTATTCCCATTTACAAGTAGAAAAAGTGAAATTCTCTAGGTTAGCTCTGCTGGGGTAAGCTGAAAAAGGTGGGTACTCAATCAGAATTAGTTGACTTATGCTAAACACGTCCTGCTCCATAAATGGATGTCTGAAATCCATGGATGTTTCTAGCTCTAATTGATCTATAGGAGCGTGCTTCTAAAAGTGCATGGAAAAAGGAATTTAAAGGTGAGTTTATCTCAGTTCAAAACATTTCAAAATTCATGCAGATGTTTTCATAATATACATTTTCCATGAACTACTTGAAGACATTTTGTATTCTTGCTTTTCTTCTTTAGGTAAAATACGATTTGCTAGAACCTTTGTGCATTTCCAGTTTAAATTGAGCCATCCAGTAATAAACTATACTCACTCAAAACATTGGTACATCTGTTACTTGTCACTATTAAACTCTGGGAAAGACAGAAATGGATCTAAGTTAGTCACAATGGCAGTTTACAAGCATCTACACCATGTTTCTTCTGCAGAGATTGCATTCTTGTGTGGAGTAGCTGCTCCATAAGAAAACAACTCCTATCCAAAATTTAAAACTATGAATGGGACTGCTTCAGACAAATTGTTCTGAATGGAGAAAAAAGATCCCATATTCAGATTTATTGTTTTTATGTTTCTTGTTAATGCCTGTATTATTTCTCATGGTGTATATAGTTTAAGTAAAGGGAAGACATCAAACGTATCATGGGGAAAACATTGCAATGGAAAGAAGGAAATTAAATCACATACATCTTTGTCAAAATATCTGTTTTGAGGTAAATTTGAAGCATCTCAGTGTCCCCATGATTGTGCCAAGTTTTTTTTTCCCAAGATTCAGTCATTTCTTTATATTGAAAGGCAGAGAGAAAAAGAGGGAAAGAGAGAGAGAGAGAGAGAGAGAGAGATCTTCTATCTGCTGGTTCACTTCCCAAATGGTCTCAATGGACAACACTGGCCATGCTAAAGCCTGGAGACAGGCACTTCACCCAGGTCTCCCATGGGGATGCAAGTACCCAAACACTTGGACCATCTTCCAGTGCTTTTCATTAGTGGGGAGCTGGATCTGAAGTCAAGCAGCCAGGACATGAACTGGTGCCCATATGGGATGCCAGAGTCACAGGTGGTCATTTTACCCACAATGCTGACCCCTGATTATGCCAGGTTTTACAAGCATGTGCAACATACAAGGGGACTTTAAAAGTTTCATGGAAAATAAAATTAAAAGCTAAAAGTTACTTTTGTTCTCAACATAAGCTCCAACTGGTCAAGGCACCTACAAGCAATCATATCAATCATTTAGTCCATCCCTTAAGAACTGAGTGTCCTGGTAATTTAACCATTTCAGTGGAGTCTTTTTACTTTATTAATGGAAGAAAAATGGATTCAGATGAGGATAGATCAAAAAAGCCAGAAGCTGACAAATCAGGACTTTAAGGTAGAAGCCTATGGATTTCCCTTCAAAACTGAATTACTTGCCTTCACTTGATGAGAAAAATAATCAGAAATATTCTTGTAGTGGAGAAGGATATTCTGGAAAAGTATTCCTGGGTAGTTTTCTGCTGACTATATATGGCTAACTTTCTCTAAATATTTTCCTAATAATCAGCTGATATTGAACTTTTGTCTTCCAGAAAGTCAGCAAGGAAAATGACTTGAATATCCCAAAAACTTTCTATGGCCTTTGCTCTTGAGTGGTTCTTTTGCTTTCCTGGTAACCGTTGCTTTGATTGTGCTTTGACTTCAGGATAATGGTAAAGCCACATTTCATCTCCTATCACAATTCTTCAAAGGCATGCTTCAGGTTGTCTATTCCTCCTTGTTCAAATATTTATTGATGATATTGGTTACTGTTTCTACTGTCAACTATTGGTCTTTTTTTCTTGAAAATTTATCTATGTATTTATTTGAAAGCTAGAATTAGAGGCAGAGACAGAAAGGAACAGGGAGAGGAGAGAGAGGAGAGGGGAGAGGGAGAGGGGAGAGGGGAGAGGGGAGAGGGAGAGCTGACCTGCTTCACAAATGGTGCAATAGTTGGGACTTGGTCTGGCCAAAGCCAAGAGCCAGGAACTCTATCCAAGTTTCCTGCATGGGTTGCAGAGGCCCAAGAGCTTTGGCTATTCCCCATTGCCTCAAAAGCACATTAGTAGGAAACTAGATGGAAAGTAGAGCAGCTTGGACTCATGACATTCTGACATGGAATGCAGCATTCCAAGTGGTGCCTCAATTCACTGTGCTGCAACACTGGCTCCTTATTTGTCCTCTTTAATTAAGGTGCTAACAAGATTAATTTTTTCTTAGCAAATTGATGTACATGGTCTGCTGCTGTGGACTTCATATTCAACATGGTCTGTTTTCCTTTCTTGAAATGAATGAACTATTTGTAAATTGAAGATTTCTTTCTGGTGTTGTCTTCATAAACTTCTTGTAAAATGTCAGTGATCATCACTCTTCCATCCAAGCTTCAGCATAAATTTTATGTCAGTTCTTGCTTGAATTTTATCAAAATTTCTTCAATAGGGGCTGTTTTCAAACTGGTATTTCTTCTCTTTCTTAGTATTTAAATTTAGAACCTGTTAAGACATGTTATAACAAGGCATTAGAAGTTCATGTTGGTACCAAAAACCTTTCAAAATCCATAGTTTCTCTTTTTTAAATTTTTATTTTTTGAAGGGCAGAGAGACAGAGAGATAGGGATTGACCTTCCATTTGCTGATTCACTGCCCAAATGCCCACAACATTCAAGGCTGGGTCAGCCCAAAGCCATGAGCTTGGAACTCCATCTAAGTCTACCACATGGGTGGCAACAATCGAAATACTTTAGCCATCATCTTCTGCCTCCTGGAATGTGCACGGAAGGAAGCTAGATTGGAATCAAAATAGCCAGGACTTGAAATGCGTACTCTGCTATGGGATGTGAGCATCCAAAGTGGCAACTAAAGCCAGTGAACCAAACACTGGCCCAATTTTTTCTTAACAGGCATTTTCCATGACTTTTGAAGACCTCTTATATGTCTCTGTTTGGTCCAAAGAAAGGAAGCAACTAAAAGTGATTAAATGGGGTTAAAGAAAGACTTGAAATCATGGAGGTGAGAGCCTGATTCATATCTCCACTGTCATTCTTCCCAGTTTACCATATTTGCTATTGCATCAGGAATTATGTAAATTAGTCATGCACAGTGTCAGCCAGAGTGTAGACAAGAGTAAAGGCTTGATAAATGAACATGGGTGAGGAATAAATGGATACATGGTAGAACTAATCCTGTCTATTCTGTCTCTCTCTCACTCATGTTTCACACTCTTTTATTACTTCTAATGAATTATTTTGTCTTAGGCATTGCGATTCTTTGTTCTTTCCTGTCTTATTTTTGTTTGCTTTAAATGTCTCCCCTTTGTCTCATTTACTTCTAGCCGGAACTTCTTTCTCACTAAGCTCCTCAGCAATGCAAGGCCTCCCCAGCTTCACCTCTCAAAAGCCTCCTTAGACTTAATGAATCCTCTTGGTCTTGTCTAAGATTTAAGCATGCTTTCTCTCACACCACTGAGTCCCAAGCATTAAATGTTCACCCCATTTTTTTTCATTTAACCTCCAAAACAGTCCTTTATATGTGGTGTGGTTCTCATTTTACCTTAGAGAAAACTGCAGCCCAAAGAGTTTATTGACTTCCCCAAAGTTTCCTGGCTGGTAGGTGGTAGAATGATCTGGACTTGCTGGCCAACAGCCCAAAGTTGAACCATCAGTGACTCTCTTCACCTCCCTTAGCGGTGAACAGTCAAAATGGTGACAATTTGTAGGAGAAAGGCAAACACTGTGAAAGGTCCTTGTGAATCAGCCCATGCAGAACCAATTAGTCAAGTACTTATGAGTAGTAACTAAAGTTTTGGGAAGTAGTATTTTGGTAAAACTTTAATGGTGAGCTTTGTTACACACTACTGTTCCATGATCTGCTCTGTCAAGCAGCTAATTAATCCTCTTGGGGCAATTACCCAGCCACCAGAAATGGTCTGCTGCAGGCCCATGCCCTTAGGCAGAGTCTACATTAAATAAGCAGCAGAAGAACCTTGAAGTGGCGGGTCTGTAACTGCTCCTTCCTCAGGTCAGCACTTCCAACACTTGCATGTTCTGGGCCCAGCAGCGCAGCATCAGACACAGGTGGGTGCTCTGTAAGTGCTTTTTAATGATGGTGGTGGTGATGATGTATGAAGGTCTGTTTATACTTGCAGAGAGGGTCGTGTATTTTAACAAGAGGGACTTTTGATTGGCATTTCAAAGAGGCTAGTGTTGTTGGAAAATGTCAGCACCCTGCATAGGAGGGCACTTCATAAGTGTTAAGGGATTGGGCCTGCTAAGGGGATTAGGATAATTGTTTTGGAGTGAATGGGAAGGCTCAGTGGAGGTGACCTGAAGTCATTTTAATGGGCCTAGTGGAACTCATGGTGACAACTCAAGCTAGTGGATTAAGATGCTCTGATGGAAATTCCCAATCACTGCTTAGCATTGGTTCCATTGGGATAGTGACTGCCTATTGTATTGCTATGCCTGGTAGGGTGACTCAGTTTCTGGGCTTGAGCAAAGAAAGGTTGATCAAAGAAACTGCCACCTCACCATGTGGCACAGGGCTCTTTAGCTTCCAGAGATGAAAGATGCCTATTTCCATGGCACTTCTCATTTGAGTAGAGCCTTTTAATGCATGCCAGTTCAAGATCAATCAGGGATGAAGTCAAATACTGTCAAAATAGCAAGTCCTATGGATTAAAGTAAGAAGGAAACCTTCTTCTAAATAAGCAGCCAGGCTGGGTTGCTGATAGTTACTGTTGCATCAAGATTCAAGCTTTAGAAATAAAAGATAAGCTCCATAATGAATGCATATACAGGTTCAAGTGTTAAAAAAAGTAGTTTATTTTATACAGTAGTAGATCATATCTGTCTGCAATCTTATGATAGAAAGAGAAACTTAAATTTCAAGTTCTGGTTGATCCAGCCAAAAATTATTGAATCAAGTCACTATGTTGCCCAAAGACTGTAATGCTACCATTACTTTCCATGTTTGGATAATGTTGCTTTAGTTGATTTGAAGTTCTCTATATATGAGATCATCCAATGATGATAAACATCACTTCCACCCTAAAAATACTAGAAGAGGCTATTTAGAAACAACAACAAACTGGTGTTGCCTCAAGCTTATTCATCATGAATATCTGAAGATACTTAACTGCTGTTTCCTAGTTTCACACTTTATTGTGGTGTCAGCTGGCATGAGGGTGTTAGCACTAATGCTGTAAATGGTCATAGTTTATTGGAATCAGATGCTTTTGAAATGAAGTGGCACAAGTAGAAAAGGAAAGTGGTATAGGAAAGGCAGGGAAACGTTTCAGCTTAGGTGCCATGGAATGTACCAGTTTTGCTGCAGTGTGACATTTGCACCTGTAGCAAACAAACTTTGGGTTTCTCTAGAATGCAAGCTGAGGAACTGTATACACACATGGCTTTCAGCCTGGAAATTCCAGCCTTCCCACATTGGTTTTGTAAACAGCGTCTTAACACCCACATTACATATCTGGCCTGTGCTGTCTATAATCATTTCTCTTCTTTTGGTGAGGGGACAATAACTGCTTCAGCAGCTGGATGCTTCCTTGCATTTTGTTTAATGCTTACGTGTGCTTTATTTAGCACAACTGGTCCAAGAAAGCCCTTCTCTAAATTTTAAAAAATCAATAAAATTTAATATTTCTCTGTCAAGATTCTCTTTCTGTAGACATATTCATCTTAAACTGCTCAGTCAGGATTTTCAAAGGGCCAACGAGTGTACTGAAAATTTTGATGAAATATCCCACAACTTTGAAATATTCTTTCTTGAGAATAATATCAAAATCACTATGGATGGATGTTAGAAGCTAGGATTCCTGGAATTTGATGCAAGTCTACTGAATCAAAATCCTTCATGCTGGTTCAGGAATCTTCCAGACACACAAGCCAGATAAGTGCTTCTGTGAATCTTTGCCAGATGCTACCAACTTGTTTTCAGAGACATCCACTGGATCTATTATTGTGTCTTGGGTGAGTAATTCTCTTGATTACTGAGATTCTCCAACATTTTGGCTGCCTATATTTTTATCTGATTCTAGAGAGATGGGTCATTACCGAAATTATTTATCTGAAATAAAGATTTTATTTTTGTAGTTCTCCTTTCTGGTTCTCTACTCCTCTTCCCCATCTCTCTCATCTTTGCTTTCTTCTTTTCTCTTAAAACTTTCCTGGCCTCAATTACAAACATATGTGACATACTGAGGACGATAGAGGGTAAAATGCCAGGCAACAATAAAATGTCAAGGTTAGCCAACCTCATTTTTGGGATTTGTTTAGAAAGACTGAGAGGGGAAAATTAATTTCCAGGTGGGTTCTCCAGGGGAAGAATGGCACATTGCAAGGCTCCTGGGGCGATCACAGGAAGGATGAGAAGCTGAATTCTGAAGAGTGAAATGAAGACATAATGAATGGGGGCAAATGGTAGTGAACTGAAGATAGCTGGGTATGCGAATATGACCCAAAAGACAACCTAGTATAAACATGTTGGAGGATGTTGCAGGAGGAAGAAAAGACTAAAGAAATTTCTTTGACATCTGGACCAAAGAAATTATTATTCAGGATTATTCACCTGCTCATATTTGCAAACATGGGACCACAAGGTTTTAGCCAATATCCCTCCATTCTGACTACTTCTAAGTCCTAAAAGTACCAGAAAACACACCTGGAAAACTGATCCAGCCTCACAAAGACTGTTGAAATGGTACATTTTAAAGGTCAATTTACTTCTCATAATTCTTTTAAAAATGACTAAATTTGTCTATAAGGAATCAAATGTTTTACTCTAAACCTGTCTTAAGTAGTAGCAAAACATGGTAAAATTTGGGGCTACTGTAAGACCATCCTTTTCTACCATTGCAGTCCCTCTGCTGCTATTAATTTTTATCCAAACAACCATTCCCTTGGATTAAGGTTTTATGCTTAAAAGCCCCAAATCACAGGGTGCATAAAAATATTTCACAACACAGTGCTTAATAAAAGTATACAGTTGTTGATTAGAAATTTAAATTGGAGAGAGAGGAGTGAACAGGTGTGGGCTATAGGTTGCCTAAGGATGAGCCTGCATGCCCTGCAAATAGGGGGTGGGCAGGGCACTCTAATAGTCAAGAGCCTCCAGCGACAATAAAAGAGACTTAATGGTAGCACTAAGTGAGGAAACAACAATGACAACATCTTGCATCATGATAATTCCTCAGGCTGGGTCTGATGATGGGATTAAAGGAAGAGTAAGAAGCTGAGGCCTGGAGGAGTTGGGTCCAGGTTTAAGGGAATGTATGAACAGAGTCAGTCCCAGGAGCTAGGCTGTGCAACCTGCAGCCATTTAAGCTTCACACTGTAGGTGGGGGCCTGCTATCTTACTTACAGATCCATCCCCTGGAGGGCTTCAACACATGCATGCCAACATGTTCAGGGGCTAATTCTCCCTACATTAACATCAATGGATTTTTGGGAGGAAGGATGAACCAATTTCTCTCATTTGTCCAAAGC